TCAGATAATGGTCCGGCCTTTATTTCTCAGATCACTCAACAGGTATCCTCAAGCTTACACATCACCTGGCACCTACACATCCCATACCATCCACAATCCTCAGGAAAAGTAGAACAGGCAAATGGCCTCATAAAGACACACCTTACAAAACTCACTTTAGAACTACACCAACCTTGGTCTCAACTTCTGCCCTTAGCCTTAGCCAAGCTCAGGGCACCTCCCCAGGCTCCTACTTTCTTAAGTCCTTTTAAACTTATGTATGGCAGGCCATTCTTACTCCACAATCTTCCTGCTCCCCAAAATCTCCCTCCCCTTGTTGACTATGTCCCAGTCCTCTCCTCCCTCCAACACCTGTTGCGACAACATGCTGATCTCTGCCTTCCACAACCCTCTGGAGAGGCCAAACCAGATCCTCTCATATCCCCAGGAGATCTAATTTATCTCAAATGTTCTAAATCCACAGGACTACAACCAAGGTGGAGTGGCCCTTACCTGGTCTACTTGGCTACCCCTACAGCGGTCAAAGTTGCTGGACTCCCATCCTGGTTTCACATCACTCAGGCTGAGAGGTGCCCTCCCAGCCCTAAATCTGATCATTCTGAGTGGTCATCTCATCTTCTGTCGCCCACCCGTCTCCGTTTCACGAAGGCCTCGCAGCCACAGTTAACAGGCTAAGTCATGTTTTGTTATCCACTTTGGTTCCTAATTTCTTACATTCTATTAATGATCATTTTTACAGCAGGACTCTTGACAGTCTTTCCTAAAGACTCCCACATTACGTGTAAGGTAATCTTCATAATGTTCTATGTGATAACTGTCGTAGTTCTGTCTACCCTCAGCTGTCTGGTTAAGCGTGACATCCCTGAAAGCCTAAGCTCTTACGTTCCCTATACTGGTACAGCCACTGCCTTCCCTACTCCCCCTATTTTTTCCAGTTCAACTCCTGGACCGGACACAAGTTTTACACACCTACCCTCTTAACTTTTATGCTTTCAGATGGGGGAGTAATCATCTCTCATAACATCACTCCTCCTAACCTCACACTTAATTTTCAGAATTCTACCTCACCGTGACAATGATCCTACCTCAACGTCATCCTGATATAATGACATGTCTAAATCAAAGGCACCTTTCCCTCTACCTCACCTGGGTCCTTAAATATGACAGTGCCATGTCTCCTCATAACATCTTGTTTCTTTGTTTTTCCAGTCTAAGATACGTGCATTCACTAATGAAGTTGTCCTGGATAAAACACCTGGCACCAGCATCTACCTGGGCATCAACCGTCATCCCGTCGACTCCCCTAGACTCCAGTACAGCGCCCCCTGCCAGCAGGAAATAGTTAAAGAGAGAAATCTTCGCCCCTTTTCATAATAATAATCATAAGACGGGATATGAAAGGGTTTTGGCCCAGACAGGACACTGTAGCCAGAAAAACCTCAACCGGAACCAGGAAGCTCCTATCTCCCCCGCCCCTAGGGATTTACCAGTTGACTCTCTCTCCCCCCACCCTTAGGAATCTGTCCCTGGCACCATATGTGTGCCAATGAGATACCTGTGCATCTCTAAGGGCCCTAGGGCACTACCCTAAGCTTAGGGTACTTATATACCCCCCTCGCCACGTGTCTGCCAGAGAAAAAGCCAGACTCCAGCAGTCGGGGGTGTCAGTTCTCTCTCTCCGTGTTCTCAGAATAAAGGCCTCTTTTGTTTTATATTTCTCATCTTTTGGAAATAATCCTATCAGCTATATTTACCTAAAAGTACTAATTTTTTCCTACCATATGCACAACAGATTTTTATCTAAAGGGAAATAAATTTAAACATATTATCTATAGTCCTATTATCAAAGTATATGAGAAGCTAGTTTGCAAGTTCTTCAGGAAACCTCTGTTTTGTTTCTTGGTGATCACCATGAGATTTTTAATTCTCAATTGTCAGCTATTTGTTTATTTGAGGATTGTGATGGTTATAGGCATGCGTTACCCCCACCCTGGAATGGCATAGTTAACCACCAGCCCCAGGTGCCTGCCTCTAGATCCATGACTAGGGCTACACTGCTTCTAGCCAATCAGAGTGCTTAGGAGGGAACAGCTCCACCAGGGAACTCCAATTGGCTTTCCTTGCCTACCTCTGCTCCTCCCCACCGTTCTTCAGAGAGACGTGAGAAATCTCCCACATCTAATCCTGTCATCACATTTGCTTTCAGAAGGACCCACACTGACAGGAGGGATCCACATCAAACTGAGATGCATTTTGAGACCTTGGGAGCCACCTTTTCCTACTCTCTCAAAATCTTAATAATATTCTGAAATGAATACTCTTGGTGTCTCAAAATTCATTAAAATGTCCTGATAGCTGAATGTTTAAAGAATTATGTGACTTTTTAAAAGTTATCATCTACTGAGTATTATGTGCCAAGCACTTTATTTATAGTCATCATCTCATTTGCAAAACATTTTTAAACCATGCAATGATGTCTTTTATCACATATAGGCTTTTATAATAATTTCTTCAATCTCTCTTTATGCAGACGAAAGTAAGTGTGCTGTTTAACATACTGGAACTTACAAACCTAATCATTGCCTAAACAGAGAAAATGATCCCCAATGTGTGTTCAACCAGGTGGTCAATGCATCTGCTGACCGCCAAGAACATGGAGGTGAACATGACAGACAGATGGTCCCCCATCTATGCCTCTATTTACCACCATTCAATAACCCTTGTTCAGGCCTAGGTTAGCTGTACATTTCCTGTCAACAATCTTTCTATGTTAAAGAATACTCTTTCTCTTTTTTAAATATTTTTTTTATTTTAAAGAGAATAAAACCAAGCAAAATAAAACAGAATAAAGCTAATCAAAACAAAATAAGTGTAAGTGATACAGGATTTCAAAACAAGACAATAGGAAATCAACAATGGCCACCATAGTGCCTCCTGCTATCCTCAAAACAGCTGCCCATACCATCAGACATAGTAAAATAAAACAAAACGGACCAGAATAGAACCAATAAAAACAAAACAATGAACACAATACAGGACTTCAGACCAAAATAATAGTAAATCCAAAATGGCTACCATAATATATCTTGTCATCTTTGAATAGCTGCCCATGCCATCATATATAACAAAATCAAATAAGACAAAACAGAATAAAACCCAACCAAACAAAACAATGAGAATGACACAGGACTTTAAAACAAGATACTAGGGAATTAACAGTAGCTACAACCTTCAGGAGCCCCCCATAGACGTTACGCTGTACACTGCCATCCTCCAAACAGACGATCAGACCACCCACCAGCTTCAGGCCCGCAAAGTCAATGAAACCCTAAACTCTACAAGAAGTAAGTTGTATTCTACCTCAGAAGCCATCATCTCAGCCCATTTTTCTCCAGATCAGCTGGTCCCAAGAAGACTTTTACTTCATCTTTTGGTACTGAAATCTGGGCAATACATTTCTGATAAGCCAGAAAATTTGTTGATGCCAGAGGGGAAATGTCATGGAAAGCAAGACGCTGGTCCTCTGTGAAAATGATTTGTAACAGTCCAGAGATGAGGGTGTGGTGGGTAGAGCGACGAAAACATTTCTGGAGTGGTTTTTTGATGTTTATTTTTATAGAGGAGCAAGCTGGGGTTTAAACTGGCCTAAAGACACAGAGATGATGTGATTCAAACTGGAAGGTGGACCAGGTATACCTTACCCTTGGCCCACACTTCTATCCATGGTCCCCCATCAGATATGTCAGCAAGTACGGTATTTCTGCTACTCTCTGCTTTACAGAATGGAGGCATTGCTCAGAGTATTATTTCAAACATGAAACCTCATAACTCAAGCTGTAACCTGAATGTGCCTCTCCTCCTCCTTGACCTCAGCCTCTTTATTTGTAAAATGAGGCAAGTAAATTAACAATAAAGTCCTTTCAACTCTGGAAATAAAATTCTCCTTTAAGGCTGAAAAGGATCATTTATCTTCATGATTTCTTTCTATATTAATTGTTCTTGTAAGAAATGTTAGAAAATTAAACTCTAAACAATGAAAAAGAACAGGTTTGTTATAGATTAGAAAACTAATCGTTCAAGACCTATAACAGTTACAACTAACACCTTGTTCTCTTCTAATATGGGCAGGCTGACTTTGGTACGGCATTCATTCTTTCAGGATGCCTGTGGCTCCAGAGTTTAAATCACTACCACAGTTAACACTGACTGAGCACTTGTAGGTCAGTAGTTGTGTCCTGCAAAGGTAACAAACTTCCGACTCTTTCCTATGAGCTGTGAGGCTCTGCCGGATCAGGCCTTCTCTGCAGCCTTGGTTCCCAGCACTGGTCCGCTGCCCATTCCTCTTGCGCTATACTCTGAATGTTCCAAGCTTGTTCTTCTCTCAGGCACTGTGCAGAGCTCCCACCATTGGTCTGTCTGATGTACCGACTCTCTGATGGCCTCTTTTAAGAAGCATCCGCATTCCTCGCATTGCTTTATTTTCCTAACAGCCGTGCACTACCTGAAGTGACTTACTATATCCTCTTTACTTTTTAGTAGAATATATAACCTGAAGTCAGGGAAGTTTTAAAAAAATTTTCCCTTTTCTTGATGAACAAATAAAAGAAATGGGTGAAAAAGTACTTATGTTGATTTTAAAACTCAATAAAAGGATATCTTTCAGTTAATGTAAATACTTGGTAGATGTAGTTCATTCTTCACCTTTTCATCTAAATTTAGGTCTAGAAATACACGAATTAATACAAATAACAAGCAACTCTACCAGGCATGGTGGAGTATCCCTATAATCCTAGCAGTCTGAAAGCCCGAGGCAGAAGAATCACAAGTTCAAGTCCAGCCTGGGCAAGTTAGGGACTTAGGGAAACCTTGTTTCAAAATACAAATATAAAAATATGAGCTGGGACTCTAGCTCAGTGTAAAGGCCCTGGATTCAATCTCTAACACTTCAAAACAAAAAACAAGCAACTTTATACGTGTATAAATATTTTTCTTTACCTTACCTGTCATATTGCAAGTCCTCTGGTTACTTTCAAAGTGATACTGTCGTCGTGCTTGAGCAATATATTCTGCAGCTTCCCTTTCTTGTATTTCTCTGATTTTCTTCTGTCCATATTTCCCCAGGATATACACTCCTAAAATAATTTTTTAGCAAATAAAGTAGCAATATTAGAGTACTATAAATTAAACAGTATTTTTAACCTTTTAAACAATCTAATTATAAAGCTTATATTAAGGAAAAACCAATAACTGTGTAAGACTTAGCTAAAGGGCAGAAAGATCAGCAGTTTAAGAGAAAAGAGTAGAGGAAAAGATGAGCACAGAAAAGGCCAAAAGGAATTAAATCTAGAAAGTCTAACAGTGCCTTTAAGAGTTATCTAGAGATATTATAAATGTCTAGCAAAAGGGAATTTTCTAAATACATTACGTCTTGTTCACATAATGTAATCTTATACAACCACTAAAAACCACATTGTTAAATAATTAATGCCTAAAGGAAATATCCTAGTTATATCACTAAAATGATAATATAACAGGAAGCCAGAAGTTTTTTATTTTAATGGCACAGATATAATGAAAAATAGGTGGGTTTTAATTTCTTCTTCTTTCTTGATGCTGGGGATCATACCCCGGGTCTTGTACATGCTAAACCACTGTTTTAGCACTGAGCTACATCCCCAGCACTCCAATTTCTAACATATAAAGGAATGAAGAACAAAATGATGGTGAATAAGAAATAATTCTTTTTCTTTTGTTCACTTCTCTACAGCTTCTACGTCTTCTTTAATGAATACATAACATTTTTAAAACTATAGGCTAAGGTTTTAAAAGGAAAAAAGAAAGAATGTCAGTGAGCATCTATTCAACCATGAGTTAGAAAAATCTCTGAAGAGAAATTTTCTTAAACTATCTAAAAACTAGTAACTTAATTGTAATTGGGAGGAAGAAGGGTGTATTGTAACAGTGTAGCACAAATACAGATGGTGTCATGTGATAAACAACACACTTCAGCAGATACAGTATGATACAAATGTAACATTTTGGTCTATACTCAGGGTGGGGACAGTCAGCTGTCTGGGAATGTGAATACTCTAGTATTTGTTAGCATCTGACAAAAAATATACTTTAAGGCTTAAGTGCTTTAATTAACTTTTATCTCTGATCAGCACCAAGTATCAGCATAATGAGTATCAGAAATGAACTTTTGGGCTGGGGATTTAACTCAGCAGCATAAGCACCTGCCTGGCAAGTGTAAGGTCATGAGTTCTATTCCTGGTACCAAAAAAAAAAAAAAAAGAAAAGAAAAGAAAAGAAATGAACTTTGATAGATTAAATTAGTAGTGTTCAAAATTTTAGACAAGCTAACACATTAAGGTAATATTCATATGCGCTTGAATTTGCAGATGAATCTATCAAGTCCTGCTCCTGTGGGATGGCTCAACCTGAAATCCTAAGGCTTTAGGACTCAAATGATGCCAAGGACTTAAATCAGATGGCCACCAGAATCCTACGGCTAGAATAATGTTGCATTTGTTTCTGGTGAATCCTTTACACATAATTTTGTCATAGTGCCAAATAAGGACAGAATTGAATGAGATTATAGAACAGGTTGTGTTACTAGTTGACCTTTCACAGTAGATTTTTTTTATAGGTTCCAGAACTTGGTTTCATCACAACTTGGCAGCAAGGTTGCAGCGGCATAATGAACCCTCACCTGTCTCTACCTGCCTGTGGCCCACAATCTCAGAAAGAATTTTAAAATTATACATGATTCGAATAAGCGGATTTGGTCTGTGACTAAAAGTGGGGGGCAGACATCTAGGAACTGCAAAACAAGCATATATCTGACTTTCACTAACACAGATATTGCAGATGAAATAACATATTTCTTAAAAATAAGTCTGATGAAAGTATACAGATTAAAGTTAGAAATGAAATGTGATTATTGTTGGTATGCTTGCATACAAATAAATGTATTATAATCATGTTCAAAAATAAAAAATTCATGTAAAGGGCTTCATGGCTACATCTCTGTAATCGACCCTAAATAAACTGATGATAGTGCCATAACACCAACAGAATGAAGAAACAGACTTACATTTCACAATGCGATTCTTTGTCAGGCAACTCTGACACAACAGAGTATGAATCACTTATTAGGCTAACACAATAGTGAAAGGTGTAAAATGATTATTAACTCTGAAGATATGCTGTAAGTGAAACACTGCAATGACACCCTTTGCATAACTAAGAACTTTTCTTGGAGTAACAGTAAATTTGAGTGCTATGTTTTCCTGAGGGAAAGGTATACCCCTTCCATCAGATTCTCAAATAAATCTGATACAAATTGTAAAATGAGGTCCTCCACCGACATGACTAGTGAGTGACCTTGTAAGAGGAAATTTGGATACAGACACATGCAGAAGAAAGACAGTGTGAACACAGGGAGGAAAAGACACCTTAGAAACCAAAGACAAAAGGTTCGGTATAGATCACTTGTAAGGTATAAGAAGGAACAAACCCTGTGGTCACCTTGATCTTGGACTGCTTACGTTCAAAACTGTAAGACGATAAACTTCTGTCTTAAGCCACTCAGTCTGTGGTATTTGTTATGATAACCTTCACAAAGTAAGACATGAAATTAGGCAAAAATTCTAAATTCATGATTTTTAGTTAACACTGAAGTTTCCATACAAGGTCTAGTTCACCCAGGCTCTCATACACAAAATTCATAAATTCTGATTCTGCCAAATGATTTCACTAAGAATATAAGAATGGGGATAGAAAACTGATGAGTTAACATACACAGCTCAGGACTCTACATTTGACAAGGACTGACTTCTGGCCTGGAAAATAGGAGATATTGATGGCTCTGGCACAGATTAGGTGACTTTTGAGCAGGTTCATTGCTCTCTTTGGATCTAAATCCTTCACTCACAGAATTAAATACTGAGATTATGTAATCTTTAAATTTTCTCCTGTTGGTGTAACTTTGAGTCATGAAACATTTATTAAATATTCCCCAAAAGTAAAACACTTTGAGGTTTCCTCTCAGAGAACTATAAAGCAAAATATCCTCTAGTGTTACAGTTGCTTGAAAACCCACCTTTTAGAGCTAAATCAAGGCATGCCAGTTTATCGTAGGCCATATGAAAAGGTTGTTTAATCACTGAATTAAAAGTAAACCTTCCTGAAAATAGCTTTCTCTCTGCTGATAAACTCTCCTTGCTGGATAAACTCTTACTTGAGAGGAACGAAACAGAAGGAACTGATGAAACAGATCAGGTAGAACTGGTAGACTTTGATCCAGATCAGGAAAGACAGCACCATCATAATGGCGAAGCCAATGAGGAGGTCAAACATCATCCCAGTGTCAGTGCCAGCCCTTCTAAGGGGGCCGGTGAACAGTACTCACTGCTGGCATTCAGTGCAGCAGTGAATGCATGAAGGACTATAATCATCATACGCTATTCGCTATTGTTTTTAGTTCAATATTCAATTATAGCAGTGTTTTAAAGTTAAATGAAGAAGAAACACAAATATAGAAGCTCCGACTTTGCCCTGTATGTATGACGACTTCAGTGAACAAGATGAAGTTTAATGCCTGTAAAAAGTACCAGACCCTGGTGTCTGTTCAGCCATATCTTATAACTGATTTCAGTTTACACGGACAAGCTCAGACTGAAACGCAAGGTATAGGTGTTGACTTTAGCGTATGACCCTTCTTTGTTTAACTATGGATTAAAAATGTATTTAACTGGCAATCAGAAAAAGGAAAAAAAAATCTTTGTCTACATAGTGAGTTCAAGGCCATCCTAAACTACATAGTGAAACTCGTGTCTCATTAAAAAAAAAATCTTACAATGGACCTATTTTACTAGGTTAAAAATTTCAACAACAGAAAGTAATTAACTTGTTCCCAATGTAACAGTTTTCCAAGTACTGTTATTTTGATTCTATATCACTAATGTTTTTTTAAATTTTCTTACTCTTCTAACCTTGTTATCATAGTGCTTATTTAGATCCTGAATAAATGCTGCTGAACTGACCTTTTAATAGCTTCCTCTTTTGTTAAACTTTTTAATTTTTTTTTCCTCTTTTTTTGTGTGCCAGGAATTGAACTCGACCTTGTGCTTGCCAAGCAGGTGCTTAGGTTGCTGGGCTACATCCCCAGCACCTCTCTTGTTAAATTCTTATCAGTACACACTGAGAAACTCAAATATTTACCAAATGAATTAAGTAATTCTTGAACTGCACACCACACTCAATCAAGCAAAATCTGGGGGAAAGGGTTTCCTATTTTTATTAAGCTCCTTAAGTAATTTGTATTCATAACAAAGTCTGAGAAGCACCAATACATAGGATACTAAGTACATTAGGTACCACTGTGTAATAAGGAAGGCCTTTCACAATTTGTTAACTACTTGTCAAAATTAATTTGTCATCACTGCCCATGTACTTAGCCATAGTGAAATACACTTTGATTCATCCAAAGCAACGTTTTGGAACCTCTTGTGCATCTCCTTTCCAATATCTGCCCTCTTCTCCTTGCTAACTTTACAACTTAACACCAGTAAAGGTTACCAGATGAACGCATGTGTCTTGTTCCCTGGGATCCCACAGCACCCAGTTCTACTTTAGTACTATAATGCCATCATTGCATTACTTCTGTTTATTTCCATTTCTGTATTCCAGACTGTTTGAATTCCTCAAAGTCAGGAACAAACTTATTCTTTTGTATTCACTGATCTCAGTACAATGATAGTAAATATACATTCTTATTCAAATGTTTGTTGAGTAAATGAATACAGATTTTGAAGAGGCTACAAACTACAAGGTTTAAGAAAAATCATAAGTAAATGTTCCACCTCTTTTAAAAAATCAGCAGGTCAATAAATGTAAGTCTGATTGCTCTTTGTCCCACAGTGCTTCTTGTAGTAGTAAAATGTTTTGCAAAGTATTGTCTGGGTATTCTGAGAGCTTTAGGACTATTTTAGGGAGTCTGTTATTTGTTACTTATCTTTATCATTCTTATTCTCTTCTCAGTGTACTGTAGAGAAACATAGATGATACATGTCATGTGGTATTAAAAGTGGCTAAATGCAGAATGAGATATGAATACCTGCCTTTCTTCGGGTAGGCACAACAGTAAAGAGAGCTGCAAAATGTAAGACAATGCCACATTTCTCATTAATTTCTTGAAAATGTGTTATTTATGTTAATATTCAATGAGTTTATTATTGCTATTTAACTATCTGAAAAATTTTTGTTTATAATATCAAACATAAGAACTACTAGTACAGTTAGAAGCTTTAATTTAACCTCAGATCAGAATCTTTTCTCAAACTAGTCAAATTGTACCAGTTGGTCTAAAGCAATTACTCATCCAAATGCAGGGAAATAATCCTATCTAATAAGGTCTGTAAAGTTTTACTCTGATGGTTTTGTATTTTTATTATTTGTACGCCTGTTTTTCTTTCTTTTTAGACCATGAAGTCCAAGAAAGCAAAGTTACTTGGGTTTGAATTTCAGTTTCTCTGTTACTAACTCTGGGACCCGTGGCAAGTTTCTTAAATCCTCTGGGTTGAGTTCTAGATTTTGAATGGGATAACAGTAAGGACCTGTGGTCATCCCCACTGAATAGAATGAGTTTAGTAAAATGCTCAGCCTACAGTGGGCACACAATGAATGATACCTGTTACTGTTTTAAAAATCTGTACATCTTCATTCCCATTACCTTCAACACTATTAGAACTTAGTAACTATTTCCTAACATGTGATAGTATTTTCCTCTGAAGCAGAAGGCTTAATGGAATGCTAGCCACAGCCATTTCTTTATTACTTTTTTTTTGGCTAGAAAACAGCAGGATTTCTATTCCTCTGAAACATTTTTCATCCCTCATAATCTGTAATTATGAAGCTCTCAACAGATTTTTTAAAAAATCTATAACGATGTTTTAAGTATAGTCTTTTTCTTCACCTGTGGGTTTTGTTCTAACTTATCAGCAGGTTTGTTTCTCTAAGCTTGAAGAAGTGTATTATGTCTAAAACTGCCAAACATAATTTTTCATCCTTCAGGAGTGGCAAAAATATTTTAGTTATGTCCTCATCATACATGCACGTTTAGCTTTTACAAACAATAGACTGTGTAGTCACAGCCTAAATTACTTCAGATGCTAGACGCACTGAAATCTCAGCACTCAGGAGGCTGAGACATGAGGATCTCAGTGAGTTGGAGGCCAGACTAGGTTAGATAGTGAGTTAAAGGCCAGTCTGCACTACACAGCCAGATCCTGGCTCAAAAAAACATATAAAAATATAGATTCTGGAAACTGAAGATATCAGAAAATGCATTTTATAGAAAAAATGCATTCTCAAAGGTAATCAAGTCCACATATCCTTACTATCAAAAATTGTACTAAACCTCGGAGACACGCACAACACAATCCTTGCCTCAACACCCAATTTTAGACTTTTAAGAATTATCCAATCTGACCTACTGATACTAATGCTATTGCTACTTTCAAACTGGGGGGAAGGGGAGGCGGAGATACCATAAAATCTAATAGCGAAAAGCAAGTTCTTTGGGAAACCCGTTCTTGACTTTTTTAGTACTTCTGTAATCGAAGCACATAGCTAGTGATAAACATGTATCTTGAAAACTCAAGTTCTAAAACAAAAACCTCTTGAGGTCCCTAGATTCTCTTTTTATAATTCAAAAGGTTTTTTATTGTCCAAATCCCTACAAGTTACGACATAATCGTCATATTTAAAAATATAAAGGTCTCAGAAAGTAGCAGTTTCTCAACCTACTCTTGGCCTAGCGACAAGTTACAATGGCTAGAGAAGTAATCATCTCAACTTTAACAACTGCCAAGAACATTGCACAGTCTCCCAATCCGGAGCTTTTTCTTGTTGCAACATGGGTCCTAACATGACAGAATCAGAATTAAAATACTGCTTTCTTTTCCTTTATCTAGCCTGTAGCTTCCAGGCCCTCTGTGCAATAAGGTATTGTCAAAAAACCACGAGTTTAAACGCCACCGAAGTGCAGGCTTCCGCTAACTCTTTAGGACCTCGGGAAACTACTGTGCAGCGGAAAAGCTAAACCAAATATTGGGGGCGACCAGGAAGGAAGGCGGGGCCTCGAGGAAAGCCAGAGGCAGCAGCTGCGGAGAGTGCTCCTGGGTGGGCTTCCGCCGGGCCGGGCCGGGCTGGGCCGGCGGGGAGCGCGTAGCGCTGGGCTTTACCGCCTGCCCCTCCGGCTCAGACCTCTGCACAGCACGGACTGGTCACCTGGCCTCTCTCTGCGGGGCAAAGTCACCTCTTTCCCACGCCTCTTTCCCCAGTGCCCCTTTCCAAGCACCTGTCACCCACCTCCAAGGACCGTGCCCAGGAAGATGCATTTCTTTTTGTGACGTTTCAGAAAATTCCACATAGATCTCAGCATTTTCAGGCCCCGGCGGGTGCGGGCTGCCTCCGATGAGAGCCCGGTTCACCAGGACACCGTTTCTCTGTCGCATGGGCCGGACGACCCTGCAGGAGCGCAGCCGCGCCGCTCGATGCTCCCCACAAATGCCAAACACCGCCGCCTTTCCGCAGCCGCTGTCACCCGAGAGGGAAGGGGGCGTGGACTACAGCGGAGCAGCTGCGCCTTCAGTCCCGGCCGCCACCGCCGCCGCCGCTCACTGGTCCGGAGTGCTCAGGGTCCGACCAGAAATCGCTTCCCGGTGTCCCGCCACTCGTCTCCCCCCCGGAAACGGCGGCACGTCCGTTTGGCGTTCCGCCGCCGGCGCCGCTCTTCTTCCGTCCGGAGCTGGTGGACGCGGCATGGAGGGGACGGCGGCTGCCTCGGCGGCTGGGGACGGCTCGCACGCGGTGTCGGCCGAGGAGACCGCCAAGTGGATGGAGGAGGCCATGCGCATGGTGAGCAGCCGGGAAGGGGAAACCGAGGATGGAAACTTCGTCCGGCCCCAGCCCCAGCACGGGTTGGAGCGACGGTCGCTAGCGCGCTTTCCGGGCACCGCGGCGGCGGTGGGCGGGGAGCCGGTGGCTTTCTTCGCCCTGGATTTTCCGCGCCCGCCCCCGGCGAGCCCGGGGGAAGGGAAGGCGGCGAGCGGGTCTGGGCCTCCTCTGTGTGCACGCGGAGGCGGGTGCGCCCAGGGCGTCCTCAGCCACGTGCAGCTCCCTTCCCGGGCACCCCGACCCCCAGCTCCGGAGTCACCTCGTTCTGCGTGCTTTGGCTTTCTCGACTGTATCTGGGGGAGGAGGAAGGGAGCTGCCGTCGCTTCTGGTAGACAGCAGGAGGAAAACGCGCGCCTGGCCAGCCGAGGCGGTCACCCGTCCGTTCATTCGTTCTGCGCTCCGCTGTGCGCGGCGGCCGAGCTCCACCCTTGCTGGTGTGCGCCGCTCGGCTGCTTACCTGGAACCGAGGTCGGTGTGGCCTCTGCAGCACCCGCACGGTGCACCCGGGCGCGGTCTGAGAAACGCCCCCCAGTGGCGTCTGTCCTCGTGGGGACCGCACGAAGTCCTTCCACTAACCGAGATATCACCGCTGCCGCCACAGTCCTAGGCAAGATGGTGCAGCCTAGGCTTCCTCCTAGGCTGCAAACCTGGACAGCCTGTGACTGTACTGGGTACTGCGTGCCACTGTAGCACAGTGTTCAATATTTGTGTTTCTAAATATAGAGTACGCAAAGTACATCTGTAAGTCTAAAAGATTTTATTTCAGTGGCCCATCGGTCTGTACAGGGTGCTTGCTGTGAAAAGAGCCAGGTGTGGAAGTCAGTGAATCAATGTGAAGATCTAGGGCGCCACGAAACTTACTTAATAGACTTTATAAACACTGGACACCTAGGCTACACTTTAGGAAAAAATTTTCTTTCATAAATAAGTTAACATTAGCTTATGGTAGCTCTTATCTTTTTCTTTTCTTTTAAAAGTTTCTTTGTAAAAAGCTGAGACACAGAAGCGCACCCCAGCTAGGCCTCCACAGGGCCGTGATCATCCGTCCATCTCACCATCTTCCACCCCTACATCCTGGCCACAGAAAGGTTCTAGGGAGCAGCAACATTTATTTGTGCAGCTGTCACTATCTGTGAGAACAGTGGCTTTTTCAGCACTCTCCTGAGGGACCTGCATGAGGTTGTTTTACAATTCTCTCTCTCCTCTGTCTCTTTCCTCTTTCTCCATATATGTGTGTGTGTGTGTGTGTGTGTGTGTGTGTGTGTTCTCTATAAAATGCATAGTATAGTAACTATATAAACCAGTAACATAGTTACTAATTACCAAGTTTTATATAGTGTGGATAATGGTATTACTGTGCTTTCTTAATACTGATACGCAAATGGGCTTGTTGTCCCATGTATCACTACAAACATGGGAGATTAATAATGCTCATGTTGTCATTATGACTATGAGACCGCTAGGCAACTACTTGAACTTCAGAGTTGTATATGGAGCCCTGCTATACATCAATATAACTGTGTGTGAAATTTCATCTGTGCATTTATATACAGATCCATTTATATACATATCCATCTACAGACATTTCTTGTGTAACAACAGAGTTAACTTCCTGTTACTAAGTCATTAAACTAGTTGGTTATAAATAATTATATGTAGTATGTAGGTTACCATATTCAGAATAAAGAAATGTTCAAAGGAAGCTCCAAGTTGATAACTTTGCTTTTTTCTCTGACTCTTACATGCAGTAATGTATGTATACTAGAACATAAAACTACAGTGCTGTCCTGCACAGTATGATCAGTAGAAATTATAGTGCTGCACTGTAGAAGTCACTATAGTGCCACACTTCCACTCAAGTTCTTGCATCATAAGTCTGAACAACACACCTTGATTTTAAGTCCAAACAGTCATTAACTAGGTAGATCCTTAAATGAGGAGTTTCTGTGTATATGTACATTTACATATATATACAGTATATGGATTTTTATACATACATAAAGATACATAAATACTCTTCACATTTTCATTTCTCTGATACTTTATAAAAAAAGATTTTTCATATATGTTTTTAATTTTGTCCTTCTATCTTTAATGGCATCTGGTCCCCTATAGTTAATTGATTCCATAATTTTTCATTCATTCTCCAAGTATTTATTGAATATACCATGCTTGGATTGGGGATTGATTATAGGGAATAATTTTGTTCTGTTCTTCTCTATTCTTTTACTAAAATAACCTCTCATTATTTGCCCTGCATTAATTCAACATTATAGTCAGATGCTTTTCAGTTTTTTGTAAACCACAATGCATTAGTACATGTATCATAGTTCTTTTACTTGTATAGTGTTCTTTTAAACTTGCTTCACATTCCTTTAACTAAGTGTCCCACAGTAAAAACAAAACTGTTTACATTACAACTGAAAAAATAAATATAAGTATAATCTAAACAAAAGTTTTACAGTGGAATACTTATCCTTCCTCTGTACAGTTTTCCTGGTGTTTTTATTTTACTGTGTTTCTGAAAACATTAATTGTGACCTATTAACTTGATACCATGCATGACTCATTCCCCCCCCCCCTTTATTTTTTATTTGTACTTGTTTATAGTATACAATGATCACATTCCTCATATGTGGGGAGTTGGTACATGTACACGACACATTTCATTCTTTTATTTTGTGATCCCCTTCTCTCCCTCTCTCTGCCTTCCACCTTTTGGACAATGATCCATTCTTTAAGCTTATTTCCAATTTTATTTCTTTCATTAAATTTATCAGATGCATAGTCTTTTACCTGATACTTAAAATTAGTATACACATATGCATGTCAAAATTTGTCATCCTACATAATGAATTTGTTTATCTTGAATTCCTTTTATATTATTAAATCCTCCAAGTTAAAGACAAAAAGTTTTCAAAATTAAAATTTTACTCTCTTTCTCCTGCATAAGTCAGCTTTCTATTACTATAATTAAATACCTGAGATAATTAACTCACAAAGAGAAAAGGTTTCTTTGGGCTTACAGTTTTGGAGGGTCGTCTATGATCAGTTAACCCCATTGCTTTAGGCCTGTGGTGTGGCAGTACATTCATAGTGGGAGTGTGTGGTAGCGCAGAATGCTTATGTAATGAGCCAGGCAGCACCTGGGGAAGAGAGGAAAGAGACCAAGGGGCCCACAGTGCCCTTTCAGGGCAAATCTCCAGTAGCTTAAGGCCTCCTGCTGTGCCCTCCAAGGCTTCCACTACCTCCCAGTAAGTAGTACCATGCTGGAACTCATGCCTTTAATGAGCCTTTAGGGACACTTGTTCAAACTGTAGCACTCCCACAAATTATTTCAGTAGCATCATATACTAGATAACTTCACCAGGATAAAAAATAATAAAGATTAATGAAGTTAAAATACCATATGTATTTCTGTCCCTATAGAAATACCTGCCACAGTCCTAGGCAATAATTTCGAAGAGTAAGGATTTATTTTGGCTCATAGAAGTTGCAGTTCATGGCCAAGAGGACTCATTACTCTTAGGCTTCTAGTGGAGCTGCCTAGTGCCAGTGGTGGGGAACCTGTGGCATAATAGAACTACTTGTGACCAGGAAGCAGGAGAACAGGAGAGGGGTGTCCCACAGTGTCCTGAAGTGACAAGGCCGTCCTCCAGGTCCCCTCTGAATGATTCTACTCCCAGCAGGGCCTTTAGCACAGGGGCTCCAGGGACATCTGCGAGACACGCCATAGCACAGAGTAAGCTGTACTTGCATCTTTCTGTGGGTTATCGAGCTGTAGTGGGCAGATGATGTCAGCTGCTGGAAAGTCAGAATTTTGATTTCTTCTGTTTATTTTCATGAGGTTTGCTCAAAGTGTTCTGATGTGTGCTTACAGAGATGCTACCACAAAGGTCTCGTGGTGGTCTCAAAAACAGGCAAATCATTCATTAACACTTAGCGTTTCAGAATTGTGTTTTTTTTTCCCTCTTTCTATAGGTTTTAATTTTCCTTTAAGCATGTTGAAATTCTACTATTTTAAAGCATTTCATCCACTCACCTCTGAGCTGTTATTTATTTGGATTTAGGGACTAAACACTTCAGTCATTTAATGATGTTTTAGTGCTGTCATGGTTTATGACAGTGGCCCCCAAGCCTCATGGAATTATGGATGCGACCAAAGCTAGCATTTGTGATTGGGTCCTTGTGTAGCGCTTGGATTGGTGTTGTGGGTGTTTCACCCACCCAGGGGTGGAGCCAGGATACAATGTATGGGTGGGAAGATGTGTCTGTTTCTCTTGCTGGTTGGTGCCTTGCTGTTTGCAGCGACCATGAATAGCTGCCCTGCAGTGCCACACTGCCTCAGAGCCCACTGAGTATGGGCTGAAACCGCCAAGAACTGTGAGAAATAAATCTTTCCTTCCCTAACTTTGGGCATCAGGTATTTTGTCTCAGCAACTAGTAAAAAGTAACTAAGACGTGTGAATCACTTAAATCCTTCCACAGTTCCCTTTCTATTCTATCAAATGAGATGGTTGAAGTTCAAAGAACATGTAAGAAACTCTGGCCTTTTGTCTCTTAACTGGATTGTAAACACCAGGAGCATAATTACACAGTTTACCTCCATATAGGATTAAGGGGCCCTTAGTGGCCGCCTTTTTGGTTTTGGCCTACATGCTTCTTTCAGGCTTTAAAAAAACTAAAAGTTCTTGCCACAGCTTGTGTACTTTGTTCCCCAAAGAAACTTCAAATCTTAAACTTGAAGAATTATTTCTGATAAGAGTTTAAGATTAGACTAGGGGTATACCTGGTGTCAAATGTGGAGGCAACAAGTCAATCTTTAATTCATTTGTACTAAGCATTTGTTTGTTTTGAGATGAGGTCTCCCAAATTGCCCAGGCTGTCCTCCAGCTTGTGGTTCTGCTGCTTCAGCTACCTGTGTCTGCGCCTCCAGACATGCATCACCACTCCCGACTCTG